TGATTCAATTAGGGGAACAATATCTTTCTGGGAGTATTTTGAATGATGGATAACTCAAAGCTGTTAATGTTTGTATCTATTGTTGGTAGGTTGGACTGTGTTGACTATTATGCTCTCCTTTTGTAATTATTGTCACATTTGTGTTTTATTAGCAGATGTTTTAAGCTAATAAATATTCTTGTATGGAAATGAATGATTCATTCATTGCACAATTCTGTTTTGAACTAAGATAAGTTTTGGTTTACACTAGAAAGCTTTAAATTTTATGGATATATTTTTGACAAAGAATTTTTTGTTCACGGAACATGCAATCTTCACATTGAAAGCACTCCTAGGTGGCAATGCTGTGAACGGAAACACAAAACCTATAACAAAAACATATGACATTACCTTTTAACATAATGCTGACAGGCAAAGTAATAAGATACGTTACCTTGTAAGATGAGACGTGATGCTTTCATCAGAAAAGAAGAGAAGATGCTGAAAGTTTTTAAAATTATAAAGGGTAGAGCACACATTATCTCAGAATTTGATATGCATTGAAGCAAATGTATTCTAACATATGACATTGCAAATACTTAGTTTGATGCACATAAAAGTTCCACTGGACATAGTGGCTGTGGTGTTAGAATGATATATTTGTGGCTAAATCGCAAAGGTGAGGTTTAACTTTTCAACAGTGGCACTTTGCTTCCCCTTTCTCTCCACTAAAAGGAGAAAATAAAAGAGATAAACCAAAAAGGGTTTGAAAAAACATTACCTACTGGCTTATGTGAAGGCATGATGATGACAAGGAGAGTGTGGCACACTTGTCTGAGATGTATGAAAATTGAAAGAATGCTTCTAGATGGGTCTAATGGTTCTTTGGAATATGTTATGTCTTAAGATATGTTATCTTGTCTGGAATTCAACTTTACAAGATTTGTACTATTTGTTGAATTGTGCAGGGTAAAGGTTCAGGGGCCTCAATGTTTGTGCAGTCTTTAAGGGGTGATCCTTTTAGAGTGAGTTTTACATTGTCTGGATACTCCTCTAAATTACTCACTAGTTCCAATTATGAAACTTTACGACTTTTGTTTGTTTGTACATTCTCCTGTTAGAGGATTGATCGCAATCATTGTTTCATCTGTATGAGAATATTTCCAGTGCTTTTAAACAAAATGTAAAAGCATTTTCAACTTGATCGGTGTATCCTCTGTTCAGAACAAAGTAGATTGGCCAGAACCTTGAGAAACTGTGGATCATGACTCTATTTGTCCAATGAATTGATAAGCCTTAAAGTCCTCTGGTGCCTATATTCTTTGTATTCAGATCTGTAGCTTTTATCTTTATCATTCTTCATTTCTTTTTTCTCCCTCTTGTTTTAATTTTCATTTAAAGGAGTTATTGATTATTGTTTGTTGATAGGGGTAAGATTTGATTAAGTAAACAATTGAGAAGGTAATTGGTTAGCTGTGATGATGATACCGATGTAGATAGGAATTAATATGTTTGAATTCTGAAGGAGTTTCACTTTGATTTGTGGTAGAATGAGTTTGTGAAGCTACAATTACCATGACGGTTGTGGTCTCAGGATCACAAGTTTCCTTGTTATTGATAATTCTCTTGTTGCTTCCCAGGATTTCAACATGAGCATTTTGGCTGCTTACGTTCGTCCAAGCTCAAATTCGGAGATCGTTAAGGTCAATTTTGGGATTCAATCTTCCCTGAACGTTTCAAGTTTCACATTCAATTCCGAGGGATATGCCTGACAGTTTCAACTAATCTTGCAGGTCAATTTGCTGGCATCCAATGACTACTTTGAGAAAGTACACTTGTATAGTCGGTTTTCTCATCCATTGCATGGTTTGGGAGGTTGATGTCTATCAACTTTTTGTATGCTTGTAAAAAGCACAAAGAACATTGTAGGGTGATCTCGATTATGATGCCCCATTCTTAGAAACTTGGTGCAGTATTTATGTGTACAACTTCTTGTGCATACCGTGACGTGTGTTTGTGGGCGTATGTTTTGAGACAGAGATGATGTTTCATTTCTCTGCTGCATGCATCACTTGAATATCAATTGAGTGGACGAGAATGATAGATGGGAACTACAAAGCTACAGCAGCTAGTATTATGTATCCAATTCCTGAGTGACTGATGCTGGTGTACTTAATTGGATGTGCTTAATGATGGGTGTACTGCGTTGGGTTGCGCTTGGTGCTGTCAAAAAGAGACTCTTGTCAACCAGACGCTTCTGTGTATAATGATACTATCGCTGCCAACACAAGTTGGTTTAGTTAGCAAGGCCAGACCCTTTCCACAAAATATGATGTATTCGAATCTCATTGTCGATATGAGAACTGTATTAGTAGATGATCTGTAAGTATCGTTATAAGCAATTTATGATTCCGGAGGCCTGCCCTGATTCATGATGGCGATCGGAGTCGAATTCATTCAAATCTTTTTATCATAAAAAAGGTTAATTACACTTTACTCCCCTAAATTTTGGGGTAAGCAACACTTTACTCCTCTAAACTCAAAATATATACACTTTATCCCCTATTGACATCAAATTTTAGAATTCCATACAAAAAGTTAGTGAATTGACATTAATGCCCATATATATTATTTGTGTGGACAACTTTGTCCATTAGGCGGGAATATTGGCGCATAAATAATAAAACCTCATGTAATGTTAAAAAAAGAAAATAAAAAAGACTAAATAATCTTAAATGTCATTGGCAACAAGTTAAAAACTTCTAAAACTCTTCCAAAATTGCTACTTCTTCTATCTAGTGCAAATCATGATTCCTTTAGTAAATTACAATTGATGGCCTTTAATCAATGAAGCATCAAGGAGATTGAAGATGGTTGTATATCTTATCTCTCGAAGTATTTCCCTTCTTATTGAGCATTTTGATGAAATATGAGATGAGCATGAGACTTTATGCATCTTTTGCTATCTAGTTGCTTTTCTAGTTTGTGTATTTTGTTTGGATTCCTGGATGTTTATCAAATTGTATATTGACTGAATAATGCGCTTCTTTAGTTTAGCATGTGCAAGAGTTCAAGTTGCTCTTTTATTTGTAGAAAATATTGAACAACAATTAACAGAGTGATTGTTGGGATACTATTACAAATTGTGCTCCATTAGTTGTGGTTAGTTTTGGAATGAAAATTGATGACGCCATTCATAACCTTCGAGATATTAACATTGGGGGGTAAAGTGTATATTTCCTAAGTACAAGGGGGTGAAGTATTACTCACCCCCAAGTTTAGGCGGGTACAGTGTAATTAACCCAAAAAAATGGAAAAAAAAAGAAAAGAAAAGAAGGTACTATGGCTCATTGCCTTGCGTTCGTATGGGTGTCTAATGCTAACTTTTGCTAGTGTCCTTCCTGGTTCATTAATGACCAACCGCTTCATAAAAATTTGTTTTGATCATGGACCACAGGCCACCAGTGACCACCAAATCTTTTATTTTCGTCTTATTAGATCCGCTACTAACTGGGGAAAACTTACGTTCATCGAATGCTGCAAGTGAGCAAGGCAACGTTTTTGGTCTTTTTAAGTCGAATGACGAGAATTTAGAATTTGATCCTCTTGTACCAGGCCGCCATGTTAAAAAGGTTATAAGTAATAGAGTCTTCAAAAAAAAAAAAAGGGAAGTTATAATTAACATGGTCAGCAGTAACAACCGGTTGCCAACCACATGGGTGCGATGGGCAACGCTGAAGCTCGACCGAAAATGCTGAAATGCCCTGGCTCTACGGAAAATAAGTTTGGATAGAGTATTATTTGAAATAATTACTATAGTACTTTTTGTGATGTGATGTATATGAGATAAAAAGGTGATTGGGAATATAAAAAGGTGAGTTGAGAAATGTGTTTATGATGCAAGCGAAATAATATTTGGAATAATTTCACGATCCAAACACTCTCATTAGCACTCCTTAAAAACCTTCAAAACACTTCTTAAACTTCATGTAATGCAAACAAAAGAAAGGAGTGTCTTGAGATTTTTTGAGAAGTGCTAATATCATTTCTCGACTTTACTAGTTTTGTCATCCCACAATGGCCTCTAGAGCCTTTCATCACCACTTTAGTGCTATTTTGTACTCAGTTTCATTCTATTGTTAATATCATATTTTCACTTTTTAGATGTTCCAAAATAAGAGTTACTTTTTTAAAAATCAATACAATAGTTTACAAGTCTTCCCACATTGCCATTTGAAAAGGTAGTTTTTTTTTTTTCAATTCTACGAATGCATTTCTCATACTTTCAAATTTTGAACTTGAGAATAACATTGTAAAATTACTTGAATCCAACTTATCCAAACACAATGATTACATATTTGGTTAAAAAGTTGAGTTCCCAAAAAAAGATTGAAATGATGGGACTGAGGGAGTATTACTTAAACATCAACCTTTAATTTGATTGACCTTCCTAAGTTAAACATTGGATACTCATTGATGGCTACCATCATCTCAAGAAACATTGGATCTAACTAGCAACGGTCCACCCTCGTTTCTCCCCCTCCCCCAGAAAAAACCCCGGAGGCACGTATGGACGATTTCAATGCCAATACCAAATACAACTACAACCTCATCAACATATCGCAATTTACTCGTTGCTGCCAATTTATTGTAGCAGCAAGAAGGAACTCACAGTCTCGTCAGTTTCAAAGCAGAAACTGCTTGTACAAACTACACCTGTCCCCCTGTCCAGAGTGACCTACCCCGTAAAACCTTTGCCATCCTTTGCATGCAACTATCAGATTAAATTAACAATGCCTTGTTGCATCAGATGATACTGACTCTCAAATAAACTCTTACCAGTTAGCGACTTGCCACATCTGTACTTAATCACAAACCTTCAACAACACCTCACATCCCACCAAAAGCCTCCTATATATGTCCTTACTGGTTGCTCTTTTAGTACTTCACAGATCACATTCAATACTGTCAAGCTTGATTCATCACCTTCAACACTCAAACTAAGCAGCAGAAAAAGGAAAATGAAGAGGCTCTTTGTGGCATTCCTGCTAATCTTTGCTCTTCTCCTTAGCAATTCCTTCATTGAACCAACAATGGGGGTCTCAGGTAAGAGCTAGCTAACACGTCTTGACCTTCTCTTTCATTTTTATGTTTGCTTACTTTCGAACTTTACCATAATTATAGAATACTAGTATAGCGTAGAATCTCGCTTAAAAAAAGGAAAAAAAAAAAAGAATGTCTAACACCATTTCGTCCATAATAATGCAGTGTATTGCACCCGCGAATGCAAGGCTAGGTGCGCTAAGGCTGGTGTGCGGGACCGATGCTTGAGGTACTGCAAAATATGCTGTGGAAAATGCAAGTGTGTTCCTTCAGGAACACATGGAAACAAGCACCAGTGCCCTTGCTATAGGGACATGAAGAACTCCAAGGGGAAGGCCAAGTGTCCTTGACCTATAGATTCAGGAACAAAATAAAGGTGCATGGTTCAGGTTCAAGGTGTAATTTTCACAGTATATGTCCAACACATCGTTCTTGCTCATGTTACCAGTGATCGAGATAGATGTATTTCTAAATAAGAGATCCATTACGTGGGTCCTCTTCCTCTTACGTTACTCTAGTATTTGAATTTGGCTTAAATTTGATTCCACGAAGATTGGCTTCTTTCTTTCGAGACAATGATAGTAGTAGTACATACTTTCTTGTGTTTCTTATGTCACAGTCATGGTTCGCATCGCGGGTTGCTTCCATTTCAGTTATGACTCCACCGATACATACCGGCATCAGCGGCCGATATGGAGAACCATGATCACAGTACTGATCATAATTCTTTTTCTTCAGTCTAAAATTTTACTGAAGTTCTACTGCCCCCTCTTTAGTTCTAATGACAAGAATTTTACAACTTCACTACCGGTAATTTTCTACTTGTGATGGTACTGGCTGGCTGCTACGGTTTTTGGGTTACCCGTAACCGATGCTTTAAAGAAACTAAAAGAAGGAGCGTAAATTAAAGTACCATAAACACGCACACGTAAGGCATACAAATCCTCCTTTTTCCTACGCAACTTTGCATTAAATAGTATGTACTCAGTATTCGTTTCTTTAGGAAATAGGTCACCAAAGAAATCCAATAAATTAGTGTTCGATATATATAAAGTAAATGACAGAAGGGCAATATTTCTTTCAATGGGTGAAATGGATGCGCCTCAAATATTAGGTAGTCCACTCTTTTGTTTACCTGATAGAAATTAGTTTCCTTCTTCTTTCCCTTATATCAATATTGCAGAGTGTTGTTTTGGTAATTAGTGATTTGCAAAGTAAGTTTCGATAATTTTGATACAAATAATTAGAGTATCAAATTGAGGTGCAAATTTAGAATGGAAGAATGTACATTTAGTCGTTCTATTTAATAAATTACTATGCACGTTTGTTTCACTCAAAAAAAAAAGAAAAGAAACACGTAGATATAGCACATCTCTTTAACGGCTTTCCTCAGCCATTGCCAACATCTCCACTGTCCACTGACAAGTTAGATCCAACCCAACTCTAAACCCAAGAATGCATAGAATCAATTACTACTACTTCATGTAAGTTGACTTTTGGCAAAAAGAATTTTCCTGCACGGATGGATTAAACGGACCAGGCTGCATGAATAGCCTTCCCCAAGGCCAAGTACTGTGGTGGGCTCATACAGTTTTCAATTGTCAAACTTAAACAGCCCAAAGTTTATTAGTATTGCCCAAACAAACAGGGCTTAAAACAGTGAACCTGTTCATATAATAGCCCATTTGTTGAATTGTCCATGAGTATAAACTGGGCTGCGCCTGCCCGATAAATATCGCGCAACCTTCCCACAAAATTACAGGACACATTTCATCTTCAAATTCATTCCACTTTAGCATCTCTTCACGAGAACTCATTTCTGCCTTTCTTACATTTCCATCAATTCACCATGGAGAATCCACAGGTTAAAGAGGTAAACAATTTTCGATCAGATTCTACATTTTTCGATCTGAATTCCTGGCAAAAATTCATCCACTTTGAAATTGTTCCACATGTTCTCCCCCCCCCCCCCCTTCAATGTTTTCAAGTAGATACTGGAGAAGCAAGTGCTGACGGTGGCGAAGGCAGTTGAGGACAAGCTGGACGACGAGATCGCTGCCTTCGAGCGGCTAGACACCGACGATCTGGAGGTGTTGCGAGAGCGGCGGTTGCAACAGATGAAGAAAATGGCAGAAAAGCGGAGCCATTGGATCGGTCTTGGCCACGGCGACTATTATGAGATCCCCAATGAGAAGGAATTTTTCTCAATCGTCAAGGCCAGCGAACGCGTCGTCTGCCACTTCTATCGCGACAATTGGCCTTGCAAGGTTGCACTTTTAACCTTTTGTCTGACCAAAAATAAATAAACAAATAAATTATTTATGTCTGTCTATATGCATTTTAATAACACCGGTACAGTCTGTTTGCATTAGTGTTTTTCCATAGACTTTTTTTTTTTGGGTTAATAGAATGTGCATGACTTCATGTACTGTCCTTTGGAAGCTGCTGATTTTGTAAATTCTCACCAGTGATTAGTACTAAAATTTTCAGAATTTAATTCAATGCTTCTATGAAAGTTAACATCGCACATCTAATGGTTGATATATTTTGGAGAAAGACTGTTTACCTAAAATCAAGAGTTGTGAACTTTAAATGGCAATGTATGTTTCACAACGAGGATAATGCATTACATCAAGTATGCTGCATCCCTGTAAAATTAGGACATTTGATGAACTGCAAAATTGCATCCTTAGAAAGTCAAAATTGCACATCTAATGGTTGGTATATTTTGTTGAAGAAAGAACTGTTTTTGGAAATCCAAGAGGGATTTTCTACATTGTGCTGTCAAACTTTTGATATGCCCATTGCTTTTATATCGTACAGATTTTTTATGCATTAGTTTAGGAGGAAAAACGAGAATTAGAAGCTTAAATTGTACTGTTTCTTCAAATGTAATTGGTTTCGAAATATACACTTAGAGTTCAGAATTTACGAAACCTTCTTAGAAGATCAAAATGGACCTCATGTGATAGGTTTAGTATTTTTCACTATATGGAATCCTTAAAATGATTAGTAAAATGTTTATATCCTAGAGTGTAGGAATGAGAAATACAAGCTCAGAAAGGAGACAACACAAGTCAGAATGCTCAATACCTGCAATTTACTGTATTTATGTAATCTTATGCTTGCATGATATGCACTAAAGAATTCTAAAAGCAATAAAGATTCTGAATCCAGACACCTGTTAACATAGGGAAATATTAAGTCCATGCATATTGTACAAATATGAAGCTCTGCTCTCAAATTTATGTGATGAATTTATTTCTGATCACTAAAGAAGTTACATCATAAGATCTTTGTTTCTTTGAATTTTAAAAAATGTTAAAGCACAAGTCAATACTCATTTTCTATATGGGAGTTGGAATTGAGTACCTCTTTGGATTCTTATCAGACTTCTTTCTGTCACCTTACATATTTTACTGGAGTAGTAATCTTTACTTTACAACTAAGACCTGCACTTTTCTCTTTTCCTCTTCACTCTTTGCCCTGTGTCACTTTCTTTGAGTTTAAGGGAGGGAAGTTGAAGGCTGTAGCCTTGCGTTGCAGCTTTGGCTTGGTGACGAGTCAGGAGTGGAAATTCAATTATTCTGGAGTATTCTAGGATATCTCTAAATCTGCCTACTAAGTTTCAGCTGAACTTATTGACATGTCTATTGATTTGGTAATGTTGCACTCTATGTTTTAGGAGTATCAACAGAAGTCTGTATTATTTTGATTCTACTGTAATTAGCTGGAGGAGAAGTGATTTGTACAGCATTAATTGCAGGTCATGGACAAGCATTTGAGCATATTGGCAAAGGAGCATATAGAGACACGTTTTGTGAAGATTCATGCTGAGAAAAGCCCATACTTGGCTGAGAAACTGAGGATTGTTGTTCTTCCTACCCTTGCCTTAATAAAAAATGCCAAAGTGGATGATTATGTGGTATGTTCCACACACAAACCTTAAATATTGCTGTCATGTTTCAACTCTGAACTCAGGATTGTTGTTATTCCTACCCTTGCCTTAATAAAAAATGCCAAAGTGGATGATCATGTGGTATATTACACGGAGAAACTTGAAATGTTGCTGCTGTGTTTTAACTCTGATACAAGATTTGCCACATGCATTCAGGTTGGGTTTGATGAGCTTGGTGGGACGGATGGGTTTAGCACCGAGGAACTGGAGGAGAGGCTTGCAAAAGCTCAAGTAATTAAATTTGAGGGTGAATCTTCTTTAAATTCATCAAGATCCAGAGGTCAAACCAAGAGGAGTGTTCGACAAAGCTCAAATGCTGACTCTTCAGATTCAGAGTAAATGAAGAGCTCAAATGCAGGCTTACCGGATTCGGAGTAATTGAAGAGACAGCTGCATTTCCTTCAATCATGTTGTGATTGATTGGCCCGAGTTATATTGCAAATCATGTGGTAGAAATTTCTTGCTGCGTGGTGGTGGTACCACAATTTAGTCGCATTGTTTATCACAAGGTGAATACAGAGCGAAAAGCTTTATTGTTTTCTTAGTATGGAAGTAATATTACTATCTCGTCAAAGGCTTTTGTTTGTATATCTATGCTAAGCATTTGATGTCCATGACTTTACATGCAAATATTAACGCTAGCTTGGGGTTGGTTCCAATTAGCTTTGTTTAACGCATAACATGTTCCTTCTAGCAGCACACAGTGAGTGCCATAAAAAAATAATGATGAAAATTAATGATGCTAATAGGTGCTAACTGTGCTAAGGTTAGGGATTTGAATAAAACTTGCGTTGTGAGCTTTCACAAATATTATTGGTAATGAAAATTTCTGAACGGTTTTGCATATTTTGGTTATAAAAAGAATGGTAGCATCTCTTGTTCTCCTCCTTAACGTGAAAAATATATATATTTTGGTTATAAAAAAGAGCGGTAGTATCTCTTATTCTCCTCCTCAACAAGTTTCACGGGACGATAATAAATATTGGAGAGGAAACGAGAATGTGTTGGGCCATACACAAAATAAGGCTGAGCTCAGCTACGTTTCGATAGCAAATTTTTTACTTGCATCATACATATATTTTTCAATTTATCTTTTTATTTCACATACATCATATCACAAAAAGTGTTACATAATTATTCTAAATAATTATTTGAAATAATGCTCTAGACAATAAAATGTCGGACAGGAGGCGAGAATGTGTCGGTGCATACACAAAGGAGGAGTGATATTAAAAGGGAGAAATGAAGATGGATTTTACAATCCAAAAAGTTACGTTTACACGTATCTCATAAATTACTACTACATAATTAACACTGCTTACTGGGATAAAAAATAGCATTGACCACCGTCACACAAACAAAAGACATTAAACAACACAATGTGTACTTATTGGGATAGGATATTGCTACACATAAACATAAGAACGCTCATGGTATATATATTATCATAGTTGGATATATGACACACATGTAAAATTTGAATTTTAAATTCAAATTCGGATTATGTGTCATGTATCTAATGGTGAAAGTGTATACACTTTCAGTGTATAAAAGATTAATACTGAACATAAACACACAACTACTTATTAGACATTCCTACAAAGACACATTTTACAGAAATTTTAGACAATTTTACAGAGATATTGTAGGATGCGTTTTAAGTAAGTAGGAGATAGCGACTGGATACACACTTTACATGCGCTGCTTGCTTCCCCTAGCCCTGGCAAGAACCCTTTTTCCGTGCGGATGGCTGTGTAGATATGAATAATGCATCTGAATCAGGTTGATCATAGCGTGGCGAATTGATCCCTGTATTCCATTTATATTAAAAAAAAATTGAAATTTAAAAGTGAGATCTAATTCATATCATAAAAAAAAAAAAAAGAGACGAATTTCAGTTTATGTGATTGGATTGAACCTTTGCAATGGCAAATGCTGATTGAGCAACATAGTTTCCAAAAGGATCTTGAAGAACAGTCAAAAAGTTTTGACTACCGATAATTTCCTTAATAATCTGCATTGCTTGTTCTTCTGAGGACTCTTTCATGCACTTCTCAACCACATTACTACCGTACTTATTCATGGATAGAGAAACATAATTCCCTGCCAGTTGTGATAATATATCGCTCGTAATATATGGAATCTGTAATCCAATTATGAATTGGACAACATAGTTCCTGCAACATTTTACGAATTCAAACTCCTTCTTTCCCAGTTCTTTTTCCTTTGGTTAATTACAAAGAAGATCATATGCAACAAAAAAAATTACATACCCGTATGGATGTTCGGATAGAACCAAGGCATTTGCTGTTATCTCAGCAATAAGACGGTCTCGGGGTTCGCCACGAGCATGTTCTACGCATTGTTGCAAGACACAACATCCACTTTTGTCCGTTGCAATATCAAGACAGTTATCAGCCACAACGTCCAGTATATACTGCAAAGATTCATGTGAGTCAAACTCTTAATAGTATATACCTACAAATTTTCTACAAGAACAGATTTGTAGATTGCATTAATGAAATTGAAAAAAAAAAACAGATAAATTATATATTTAATTATAAGAGGGAGATCATCCGTAGGGACAAGAAAATGTTACTAACAGTCGAATCAACCAACTGAAAGTCGAATCAACTATGTGATTTGTGATTTTATGTTTAACTAGCTATTTAGTTGTTGGCGATGCACCCTATCCATACATACTTCATGAGTTCTTGTGTCATCTTTATCTTTCAAATATCTTTAATTATTTGAAGGCCTGGACGTGGCAAAAGAAGCGTTTAAGGATATCCAATTCAAACTGCTTCCAAACATTGTTTAAGGATATCCAATATTTATATACGCATCAAATTGTTTCCAAACATTCAAAAGGCCGGTAACAAAGATGAACCATGAGCCTGTTTTAATGTATTGGTATTGTCGGCAAAGTGAGTATAAAATAGACAAAGGCAATGGAAACAAGGCTAGAAGATTAACTCCGGAATTGCTTGTTGGGATAAATAGTTGAGGTAGGGCATACCTTTTTATCTTCAATAGGAAAATATTTCAAACAGTGTTCAACAACATGATGGCCATTGTTGCTCTTTGTGAGGGTAACAGTGATGCGTCTCAAGGCCGATATAACAAGAGATCTCTGCTCCGGGGTGGTTACATGTCCAAGCAATTTCTGCATGGCGCGAGTCCTGCCCAAGCATCAAAATGAAACAGATCACAAGAATTTCCGGGGACATATTTGATTAATTCCATGTATTAATATTAGTATGATGGCTTTGATACCCGTGCATGTCAAGGCATATAGCCATGAGGCTGTGTTCATCATTGATGACCAAGAGGAGCAATTCAGTGATTTGTTCGGCATTACCGATTTCGAACATCTTTTGCGCAAGATAATTAGCAAACTGGTCCACCATTAGCTCCCGAACATGATCCTTCAACTCAGAGAAGATTATCTCCTTTTCTTTTGGCTTTCCTTCCGCCAACATCTTCTGTAAATCCCGAGCACCATTCTGATCCTTGGCTACAATAAATATTTTGCCTCTCAAATCTTCCAAAGATGAAAATATTTTGCTTCTCAATTCTTCCAGAGATGAAAGGTTTTGACCACGTTGCCGGCATCTACTATGAAAGGACGTTGAAAGACTAGGATTATCATAATCAAATCCATCCAAAGACCTCTCTCTTCGCTGTAAAGTAGCAGTAGTATTAATCTTGTTCCTACCTGAATTATTTGGAAACACAAATCCCAATTCGGGACGAAATGCACTTGCACTCCTATTAACCGAAACAAGTCCTTGCCTAGGAAGATTGTCCATTTCTTGATCGTGAAATGCGTTACCATTCAGAACCTGATTCGAACCACGAAGATTACCATTCAGAACCTGATCATCAACCGAAGTTAGATATTGCGGCTGGATGTACATGCCCAGTTGTCCCCTAACAGCGGAGTCAATCCTCATCCGTTGGAAATTCCCATTATTCGCATATCGTGTTGTTGTATACGAAAGAGGAAACTGAGCCGTCCCAACAGAACCATCATCGACATATGTGTTGCTGCCTACAGGGATTGAGCCAAACTTACCAGGGACGGATCCAAGCCTACCAACATGGCAGCCGTAAGCAGCAGCAGCAGCCGCCGCAGTAGTTTGACGAGGGGTTGATAAATTCAATTGATTAAATTCAGCTTCGAGAAGATAATCATAGAAAGAATCAGCATAGTTAGGGTTCACATGGATGTTAGTGTTGGCACTATTGTGCAGTGCAACATTAGTATGGTATGGATTAGGAATATGAAGGGATCGGCTTGCAGGCAATGAAGAAAGCCTATTGACATGGTTTCCGGGCGACGGAAGAGAGAAGGTTCTTGGGTTTTCCGGTATAGGGAGAATTCCGAAAGCATTGGGTGAAGATTGCGGAGGAGGGTTTCTTGCCATCAACCATTCAAGATCTTCTTGGTTCCTTTCTTCCATCAATTACAGAAGAGCTGGAGATGTACTGATACAAGTTTACAACAACAAAAGGAGTTTGTTTTTATTTTTTTTTAAAAATAATTGGTAGGGTTTGCTAGGGTTTTATAGAGGGGAACTTGGGCGAGGGGGCTGTGGTTGGGTTGAAAAGTGATTAGTATCCTATGAAGACTGTAACTGAGATTTTTTAGGGAAAGATAGGGAGGAAGGAGTGATGTTTTGATTGATAATGGGATATAAAGAATAAAAAAAAGAGAGTTCAAGATGGGAAGGAGTGTTTGCTAGGGATAAGGAAACCTTTTATTAGGGTTTCATCATGCATGCAATGCAAGGCAGTAATAATCCTTATTAATATTTTTAATGCTATCATATTGTTTTATCATGCATGCGACCAAATAGGAGATTTTTTACTACTGGCATAACATATTGTTTCTCTAGCCTAACTTAACCAAATAGCTCATTAAGATTAATCTTTTGTTTCTTTTTGGATCTAATTGGATTTTTCGTTTTTGGGTCTTAAAATTTTACTTTCTCAAGTTGAAAAAAGTAATTGGTTCTAAGGATATATAGTTGTATGACTTTGCTTTTCAAGTTTTGGCGTCACCGAATACAGATGATCAAGTAAAAGGAAGATTGACTGACTGATCTCTAACATTGAATGTTCATTAATTCACTTCCCTCCTGTTCTTCTTTGAGGATTTTTTTTTTTTTTTTTTTTTTTTTGGTGTGGTGGATACGGATACCTTTTATTTTTTGGACTATTTATCTTTGATCCCACAGAAGACATAGCTTCAAAGTTTTTCATGGCGCTCCTGCGTATCTGTGATTTGTCGGCAATGTTTTAATGACTTAATCTTGTAGATGTGGAAAAACAAGAGGATTTTATCTTTCAGGTTCTTAATTTTCTCGTTTCTTGTGTACCTATCCCTGTCAAAGTTTGTTTAGATTAACTTTTTGTTTTCCTTTTTTTTGGTCCACCCGTCTATTAATATTCTGGTCTTAATGTCTAGTTAGTAATTGTACTACTATAATACACGTTCATATATGTAATTTTAAAATTTTTTTATTTTACATATTTCAAAAAAAAAAAATACTCCAACAAACACTCGTACTTATCACATAACTTTATAAAACACATACTAAATTTTTGCGTGTACTATATTTCATGAATTATGCTTCAATTTTTTGAAAAAAAATTTGGAAATTTATGTGACAATATATATATATGACATATCTCTCCAATTATACATAAGATGACACCTATGTATATCATAGTTTGTATAGATTATACATATAAACATTGTAAAGTGATTAAGTTTTGATAAATTTAATATCTAATACACAAAAATAAGAATTAAAAGTAGTGTTAGTGTAGCATAATATTTAAGAATTATAATAATTGTAACTATCCTTTTAGTTCCATAACTTCCAAATATATTTGTAATATTCATGTACAATTTTATATGTGTAATTTTACCAAACTCATATTTTTGTGCCAAACTTTTGATCGTATTTCAAAAACATCCTTCCCTTATTTTTTTTTTTAACTACAATTCTATGACCTATAGCACACAAAAGATGATTTTATTCCTTAATTGTGGGCCTTTACATACAAATATTTTTGAATTAATTGAGTAAAACTAAAAAAATCTTTCATTTTAAACTTTTAATACATGCAATTCATGTTCACGGCTTCAAGAGAAATCAAACCTAATGTGGCACGTGTTAGAAATTGAACCATACTATCCATTCAATATAAAAAGAACATTTATATGGTGATTAAGAATCTAATGAGCATATTAATGTTAATCTATACTGGCGTGTGCTATTATTCGGTTGTGGAATTCTCTCCACAACAAAATCAAGGAACGAAGAGACCAAAAAAAAAAAAAAAAACTCTTTCTGAGTGTCAACCTCCTTTGAGAATGGAAATTTTTTCATTCGTGAATTCTGATTCTATGGAAATTTCTTCATCCGTAAATTCTTACACTTAGCGAACTACTTAATTTTTCGCCGAAATACATTTCTTGATCATTTAGTTCCAACTAAATATAGATGTAACTACTGATTAAGTTGACAAGAAGAGTGATTTTTTTTATTATTAAACAAAGCAGGTTTAACTAATTTTAAATCCAGTGAACTGTCCACCTCTTCCCTGTGCCAAAAAAGTTTAATTTTTGTAATTAACAAAATTAATACAATATATTGTCTTTAGTTTTTTAGATATCACCTTAGCCATATAAACTCTATTATAATCCAACCCACAGTCTATACCAATTAACTAAGAAAAAAAGACCTCAATAGTCGCATGATTCGTGTATTTGACTCGAAGTATGGTAATAGCAATTTATTGTGGATTGATATTGGTAATTTGGTACGAGGGGTGGAGCTGAGACCCCACAGTGAGTGGGGATCATTAATACAGTAAAAAAAATTGTTTTTTTTGAAAGTACAGTAAAATTTTGATAAGGTAAAAAATAAAAGAAAGTAAAAACTACCACCATTATATACGGGGATCATAATTATTCCCCACCAGTATTCATCTTCTCAAAATATTGCAAAATTAATTCATTATCAATTGTGTTAAATACATCATTTTTTATGTAAAGTAACTAGAGTTCTTGATTTTTTAAAATGTTTTACGAAATATTTTACAAGTTTTTTTATAAGAAATTTATCCATAACCTATTGTAGGCAGCAATCATAATAAATTAATCTCGTATAATAAATCAAAACTTCAGCACCCAATTGAAAAATATAATTCTAAGATTGATCGCAAATATATACACCATCAAATAAATATATGATCAAAGTTGGATAAACTTCATTTGTGAGGTCCAAAATACATCTACTAAGGTATATAATAACATATTACTTCCTCTAAACTTGTTAATTAGATTTTGACCCCAACATCTATTTTTTGTGAAAATCGTAATATTATTACACTATATATATGGTGGTTTTTTAAAAATTAAGTAAGATCATTTGACATCACTTGGAGCCACGTGTCTCCGCTGGGAAGACGATCAATCACTAGTTTTTCTTAAGGAGACTCTAGAGAGTTTGTTTGGATAAGAGTTTATTTTGATGATTTATTTGAGATAATTACTGTAGCACTTTTTGTGATGTGATGTATGTGAGATAAAAAGGTAATTAAGAAGATAAAAAGTTGGTTAAAATTTGTAAAGTAAATTTTTTTATTTGAAATCAAAGTTGTCCAAACAATTCCTCTGTGAATTGCATGAATCATCCAGCAAACATGAACCAAGAAGTTTTTTGCAAAAAAATAAAAACATAGAGAGCAGAAAGTTGATATAGAAGAAAAGTGATAAACCAACTTATAACAAATATTATTATGTTTGAACTGCCAACAAATTCTTCTCCACTTGAAATAATTAGGGATCACATTTCTACGCAGTTCGTAGACACCAAAATTAATTTTTCTGAAATCGTGCAGTTGTAATTTCTCGTATTCATGGTTGCCATTGGTATATCATTATCGGTGGTTTGTCATGATTTACGTGTAAATTGACCAAATCAGCATTCACAAATCACAACCAGCATATTACCATTTACAATTGATCTATTATTATGGTTTTATAATGTGCAAATTACTTTATATATGGTAAGGATTGTTGCTCCAAAAAAAAAAAAAACCCGTGATTAAAACGTTACCAAGAAACTAAAACGTTACTATTTACTATTGCTTTGGCACTTAATCCAAGAGACTAAAACGTTAACAATAGAATGGCGTATCTACACAAAGATTAAACCGTGACCACTGCTGAGAGTATAATTAAGAAAAGCAGATAAAACTAAGAGAAATACCCAAAAAAAAAAAAAACTCATTTCTATTTGGGAGTTCGCAGAATAATTTCGAATAATTTTTTATGAAAACGACACTTCAAGTTGGACGGTACGATATAACCAGCGGCGACAGACCAATTGCAATTTGCAAAAGTTTAATAGGGTGATACATAAACACCCCACCACCTAGTCCAAACATCACTAAACAACTACGCTCATCATCATCGTATAAAGCAACAAAGATAACAACTATACGGTAATAAAAACTACTTAAACAGACGCACATCCTAGAATGTTGATTGAGATGTTTAATTCATATTTCAAAGAATATTAATTATTTCCAAAATTAGGAAAAAAAATCTAATTTGATGTGATATATAGGCTGGAATTTTTATTGAGATACACAGCTAATGTATACGTATGTACAGATGAAACCAAGCAAAGATATAAGAACTTCTGTCAACCAGCCTGTTACCCATTCCAAGTTTCATTCTTTACAACACACGGCAAAGAGAGAAGTTCCGTCAGCTCCAACCGATACTCGAGCCCTCTAAGATAGTGCCCAAGTAGCATGCACCTTAACATAGATCAGAAAAGGTGGATGTCAAGAGTCTAAAGCTAAATAACCACATTGGATATAAGCTAACAAAATAGTAGTCATCAAGTTAGATATAAACCAATAAGCTAAAGGACTACATCTGGCAGATTAGAGGATTAGAAAAGCTTGCATGCTCAAACAAGAATGAGTGGAAGCAATCAAAAGGGAGATGAATGGCTTTCATAGTACATCATTGTAAAAGTGGAAAGGCAGGCTCAAGTTCTACTAACTAGAGGAAGGACATCAAAGTTGAAAAGCTGAAAAGAATCAGTTTAAGGAAATTTGAATTTATCAAATCCATGAATTCCAAAAAAAATGATGAACTGATATCTCGGTAGAGTTCAGGCATGCAAAGAAGCAACAAGCAAAACAAACTTGATAAGAAATTTGCAGGTCTTCCAGAAACTAGTTTTATAAGCTAATTATACTACAGGGTAAAGGATAGCAGAGAATAAAATTACGTACCAAAACAAAAGCCGAGCCAGATAATCCCTAGTTAACAAGACATGCGGTCGAAATTGAAGTGAAGTGTTCTCCACTTCAATGCAATCATCTCCATCTGCAGTATTTCTGGTCCCAATGGAAGTGTCCTCCATGA